ACCCTGCCAATGGGCCTTCGCTGGAGCTCCCTATGGGGCCACGAACCGTGTGAGGGGTGCGCCAAAATGAAGCGGGGCCGCCATGCGAACCCTGCCACTGGGGCCTTCGGTGGAGCTGAGCTGCCTGTGGGGCCACGAACCGTGTGAGGGGTGCGCCAAAATGGGGCGGGGCCGCCATGCGAACGCTGCCGCTGGGGCCTTCGGTGGAGCTCCCTATGGGGCCACGAACCGTGTGAGGGGTGCCGAAATCAGGCGGGGCCGCCATGCGAACCCTGCCACTGGGGCCTTCGGTGGAGCTCCCTATGGGGCCACGAAGCGCTGTACTGGGTGGGTGAAACGCAGAGAGGAGGGAGGAGTGACGGGAGGGGGGAGGAAGGGGAGGGGGAAGGAGGGTGAGGAGGAGAGGAGAGGAGGAACGCGGGGCGACGTCTCTTCAAAACGAGGACCCAACACCACAGGATGGTTGGGAACAATGTGTTTTGCCTTTTCGCTTTTTCGCTTCCGATGGGTGAGGCGTCAAGAGAAGCAGCCCAAAAGGGCCCCAAGACGCCCCTGGGGCCTCCGAGGGGGGGGGGGGGCGTAAATTTACTACCCCTCTCTTTTTGAGCGAAGGGGTCCAAGACGGCCCCAAGAGGCCTCCCAGACCCCCCAAAAGAGTCCCAAGAGGGCCCCAAGACTCCCCAAAAGAGCTCCAAGAGAGCCTCAAGAGAGCCCCCAGAGACCCCCAAGAGAGCCCTAAGAGGGTCCAAGAATAGAACATCCGATTCTACGATGGGGTCCGCGCCGCCAGAGACGCTTGCACGGCGTATCTTGCACTGGTTTACATTGTAAACTTCGCTGCGGGAAGTTACGTGTGATCCTTGCTAATCATGGCCCAGGGTGGATGCAGCCACCTGCGCTAGAGGCGTTTACCACGGGGAGCACCACGTCGTATCTTGCACCGATTTAAGCTTCAATGCGGGAAGCTAATTGTGTTCCTTGTATTCTGAAGACGGCCGCGCAACTGCATGCTTCCAGCCGTCCCTGATTTACCAACTCCCCTGCTGATCGTTTCTGGATGGGCTGGTGGGGGTGCGCGAGGCGTCAAGAGCTTTTCGCAACCTCGACCCCCAGAGGTCTGGACCCCTTCCACGGGACCCGTTGTCACTCCCGCGTCGTTCTGCTGACGGCCCCGAGGCCCCGTGAGGGCCCCCAGGAGGCCGAAACCATCGCGACAACCCTCCCGCCGTGATTTGTTTCACCACGCGAGGGGCTCCGGGTCGTCGGCCGTCGTCGGGCGCCCAGACGGATCGGCGCGCGCCACATGCTCATGCGTCGATCTGCAAGGGCCCCGCGGCCCGACATTGAGCGACAGCGCCTGGCTCGAAAAAGTTCGATCGCCCAGATCTCAGGTATCCTCGGCCGTCGTCGGGCGTCCAGACGGATCGGCGCGCGCCACTGCGGCCCGGAGCACAGAGGATGGCGTCCCCGTCCACGGCGTCGACGATGGTGGCGGAGACTCGGTGCTCGTGCCTCGGCCGGGTCGGGCTCCGGCTGCCCTTCGTCGGCGCTGCTCCTCCGCCTCCTCCAACTCCTCCTCCTCCTGATCCTCCTCCTCCTCCTGATCCTCCTCCTCCTCCTTCTCCTCCTCCTCCTCCTCCTCCCCCTCCTCCTCCTCCTCTTACTCCTCCTCCTCCTTTCCCCCCTCCTCCTCCTCCGCCTCCTCCTCCCCCTCCGCCTCCTCCTCCTCCTCCCCCTCCTCCTCCTCCTCCTCCTCCTCCTCCTCCTCCTCCTCCTCCTCCGCCTCCTCCCCAGGGCGGGCCATCCCAGGGCGCACGTGGGAAGGGGGCCGCCCTGGGGAGCAGCGATGGCGGCTTGACGAGGCTCGAGTTCCTCATCAGCGGCGGCCTCGTGGGCTGCGCCGGAGGTCTGGTGGCGCGGTTCGCCAAGAGCATCGAGCAGACCTACGGGGAGATCGAGGCTGTGCGCATCCTGGTCGATGGCGTGTTGGAAGGCCAGGGCGGTCGCGAGCAAGGGCTTCAAGGAGGCGCCGCAGTCGGTGCGGGAGATCGGGCTGGGACACGGCCTGGCAGGCCTGCCAGCGGCGCTGGTCCAACGCTACTTCGCGGCGGCGAAGGAGGAGTGGGCGGTGAACCAATTCGTGAACTACTGCACCAGCTCAGGTCACCGAGGAGAGCACCGCCGACGATGGCTCGGGATCGGGCCAAGGAGGCGAAGAAGGAGGTGCGCTCGGCAGCGCGTCGGGCGCGCCAGGTGAAGCAGCACGGCAAGCAGAAGAAGGAGTGGAAGGGCAGGCGACGGCCGCGCTGGACTTCCACGACGGCCCGAAAGGGGAACTGAAGGGCAAGGGCAAGGACCTGGAGGCGGCACAGCGTCAGCTGGCGCGCAGGCCGCCGGAGGCGCAGGCCGGGAACCCGCAGGAAGGAACAGAAGAGGCTGGAGGAGGGCGCAGCGGCCTATCCGTCGAGCCAGGCGGGAGCGCAGGGGGCGGCCCCGAAGCCCCGGCGGCTGCTCGTGGAGCACGCCTCGACGGACGCGGAGGAGGAGCGAGCGAGCGCGGCAGGCTCTGGCGCCAGCAGGTGGCGGAGACGACGGCGGAAACCCAGCAGGAGGAGATGGCGAAAGAACAGGACAGCCAGGTGGAGCGGCTGGCGTGGTGGCGGACCATTGGCCCATCACTGCCGCCACAGTAGGAGGCAAAACACGGCGCCTCAGGTATGCATCAAGCTCCACAGGGACCCGGGGCCCCTGAGGGCCTGCCACCTCGAGTTGGGGGGGAGGTCAGGACACCCGAGGCCGCCACCCCATGGGCCGCTCCGAGGGACTCTGGGGGTCCGCGGCATCCAGGGCAGACACCACCGCGCAGCCGAGCAAGGTTTTCCGATCCTTGCGTGGAGGGGGCCTTGCAGGGAGCGCCCAGGTGACAGCTGTCAACGGTGGCCGCACACCCACAGACCGAACAAAGCTTGATGAGCCAGGAAGCAGCCCTCTCGTGCAGGATATGGCTCTCATAGCGCTTCTTGCCTCCAACCAAGATCTCACCCACAAGCGGCTGGAAACGGTCACCCATAAACCTCGGAGACCCAGAGAGAGGAGCCGCGTCCGACACGGGAACGACCGAGGGAAGGCGACAGACCGCGCCCGCAACACAAATGAGATCACAACCGTCAAACTTCACGAGGCAGACTGTGCAGAGCCGGCAACCACTGACAAATTTCTCAAGTGAGTGTGGGCTGGCCGCCAGAGCTCTGCGACACTTGATTTGGGCTTGCAGCGATCCCTCGGCGACTGGCCTTCTTCCTGGCGCGCACATCATCTGCAGCAACAGCGCCAGCATCATCCTCCCCATCATCCTCCCCATATCCATCGACGTTATTCATAATCGACCTCCTCAACATCATCATTCAGCATCATCACCATCGACCTCCTCATCCTCCTCCCCATACTCATCATCATCAACATCATCATCATCATCAGCAGCAGCAGCAGCATCCTCATCCTCCGCATCATCACCATCATCATTCTCACCTCCATCATCAATATCCGAATCATCATCATCACCACCAGCATCATCATCACCATCAGTATCAGCATCATCACACTCATCATCCGCAGCATCATCAACATCATCAGTATCATCATCAGCATCGTCAGCATCATTATCAGCAAGCATCAGCAACATCATCACCATCACCATCGAAACCATCACCACCACCATAATCAGCATCACCACCAGCATCATCACCAAGAGCATCGCCATCTTCATCACCTCAACAATCATCACCACAATGTCATCACCGTCGACAACATCATCATCACCATCATCAGCAGCAGCATCACAATCATCAGCATCATCATCATGCGTACCATTATGTATACCATCCCCATCAACAACAACATCTGATCACCACCATCAGCATCATCATCGTCATCATCGTCATTACCAACATCATCATAATCAGCATCACCATCATCATCGCTATCAGCACCATCACCAACTTCATCATCATCATCACCACCACAACCACCACAACCATCATAATCATCATCGTCAACAGCACCATCATCATAACGCTCACCTTCGCGTGTATGGGTAAGAACCTTACTCGTATAGGCGACACACGAAGACCCCGTGCGATCACTATCAACCAGGTCGACTAAACATCACCACCAGAAGAACAAAACTCGACCGCACACTGCGTCCTGCAAGCCCAGGTAGCGCCGTCGGGCGCGAGCCGCCCGGCCCTCTTGTCGTCGTTGTTGTCGTCGGACGCCAACAGCAACATCAGAATCAGCATCATCGCCATCATCCCGTCATCGACAACGTCATCATTACAGTGCGGGCGCGGCCGCAAGAAACCCTCGAGAGAAACCCAGCCCTGAAACCCGCAGGCGCGAGATGCAAATGGGGGGGAATCCGGAGTACCCAGAACGCACCACCTTCTTCGAAGGCCGCGAGCAGCCACCGCGCAGCGCGCAGAGCGAACACACCCAGGGCACGCCGACGACAGGCACCTAGCTTCTTGATGCGCGCCCCCACCGTATCCCGTCCTCGCCGCTGTTGTCGTCGTCGCTCTCGTCCTGCGCAGCAGCAGATTCAACATCATCACCCTCCTCCCGTCATCGACGACGTCGCCAGTCCTCCCGTCCTCGGCCTCCTCACCCCGTCGCCCGCGTCCTCCCGAACGACGCCGACGTGTGCCGGACAGCCTCTCCGCCCTCTCTCTGCCAATGAAAGCCGTGCGCGTCCCGCGTAGCTTTCAGCGGAAGAGACTCGCTCTCGCCCTCGAAGGGGCCCTGGGACACACAAGTAAGTACACACAAATAAAAGGATTCCCCATATTCTCCCGTATTTTGTGGGTTTTTGTCTCCCCGCCCAATTCCCAGATTTTCCCATATTTTCCTGGGACTCGACGATGAATTGTGTCTGTGTGTTTCTTTCCCTCCCGAGCCCTGCAGATCCACAAACAAAAAAGGTGCCGGACAGCCGGGGCCGCGGCAGCTCGTGCAGCGCGTGCCGCAGCTTCGACGGCCGCCGCGGCAGGCTGACGACGAAGACGTTGTCGCCCGGGTCTCCTGCCGCCGAGGACGCCAAGGACGGCGCCGAGGACCTCCCCCTCCTCCTCTTACCAGTCAGTGGACTGTTGTTGGCACAGGGCAGTTTTTAATACACAGGAGGTTAAAACAAGTGTATTTATATGTGTACAACTGATTAGTTTGTGAGTAAATTGATGCATGGACTCATCGTTGTTTTGAATACTCAGCCCCTGCATGTTTGATATATGATCCGCACGCGGAGCATGTATTAAAAACGGCACTGCACAATCAGGGCCCGACCACAAGAAACCTTCCACAAGAAACACCTCCCTGAGACCCCAGGACATCCATGGATGTTTGATGTGGGGACGTCACGTGTTCCATTGGAAAATCAGCGGATCCTATCGGGCAGACTTTTGGGCCCAACGCCCTGTTCTCACAACCCCATTGCAGTCTGGAGCCGCTCTGGCTCCAGTGGGCACGCTTTCAGAGCGCGCCATGGCGTGGGCGGAAACCGGCTGTGGACCGAGGACCGACGACCGAGACGACGACCGACCGACGACGGACGCCCAGACCGAACGACCGGTCGATCGACCGACCGACCGAAACGACGACGACCGACGACGACCCACCGACCGACCGACCGACCGAGATGACGACCGATGCCGATGACCACTGACGGAGCGGCCGACCGACCGACGGACCGAGACGAGGAGGACCGACGGACCGACAGACCGGCGGACCGACGGACCGACAGACGAGCGCGCGGACCGACCCGGCTTGGGAGCGAGGGGTGGATGCAGTGCCAGGACTCCCGCCCCTGGCCCGTCCCCCCCCCTCATCCCGACTGGTTTATACTTTGAAGGGCCCTCAACCAGGGGAGGCTCCAGCCCTCGAATTTCACGTGGGAAAGCGTTCCAGCCTCCAATGCCGACAAGAAGGGGTGGATCCGCCGCTGGGGATGTACGATCCATCGCATAGAGGAAGACATGTGTTGTTCGGACGTTTGCGAGTGAGCAGCTTGCGAGTAATGGAACGCGTTCGGTGACCCATGCAAATCCCGGGCGGTCCCCAGGGCGATCTCCGTCACGGATGCCGGATCTCCTGGGGGCTGCCTTGAGGGCCCCAAGGCGGTCTAAGAGGGCCCAGTCACTGAAGTCGTTCCAAGATGCCCAGGATAGCCTCCAGACGGCTTCAACCGCCTCCAAGACGCCCGAAGATACCTCCAAGACCACTCCCAAGAAGCCCCCTAGATGCAAAACTCAACGATTTCCTTTGGTTGTTGTAGGTTTTCAGCGTTCTCACGTTTTCGGCCGCCGACGCTCTAAGACGGCCCAATCAGCCCCCATGATCGCTCCAAGACGGCCCTTTAAGCCTCCAAGAGATACCCAAAACGTCACACAGGGGACTCCAAGACGACCCAAGTTTCTCCCAAGACGGCGCTGGCGAACCCCAAGACATCTTCAGGAAGACCCCTCGAGGGGGAACCCCAACAGAAATTTCGAGCGTTCGGCCTCACATTCGCCCCCCAGAGCCCCACCCGCCAGGCAAACCGAAGAGCTCTCGATAGGCCTTCGGCCTCCAAATCGCCCCCAGAGCCTTCCCCCCCGCCCTCCGGGGAGCTCCCAATGGGCCCCACGAGGCTCCCAAGACGCGCCCCGGAGGCCGCAAGAGGCCTCTAAAAAAACTCCTCGGAAGCCCCTAAAAAGCCTTCGAGCCCTCGGTCCCAAGAGGCGTCCATGCTGCCCCAAGCAGCCCCCAAGAGCCCCCCAAGAGGGCCCAAGAGGCTCCCAAGAGGCGCAAAGAGAGCCCCAAGAGGCATCCGAGGCGCCCCCAGGAGGCCCCCAAGAGCTACTAAAACTGCTACACAGGAGGCCCCCGAGAACCCTCCGAAGAGACACCAGGACCAAGAAGCATCCATGAGGACTCTCACCCACAACCGCAACAGCGCCGACCAGCAACGCCGCGAGGCCCACGACCGCGCTCGCAAGCGCCAGCGATGGCACAGTACGGGCCGGCGGAATGAGCGAAGCTGGACAAGCGCGTTCCGCTACTCGCAAAGTAACTACCCGCTAATGGCCTGGATCCGCCACAGGGGATCTACGATAATATACACATCAAAGCAGAAATGTGCTTTCGGGGAAGTTTGCGAGTAGGCACTTTGCGAATAGTGGAACGCGCTCGGCGAGAAGCGAATAGCAACTGGAGGTGGGAATCAGCTAAACCACCGTGCCTCGCACTGGCCCAGAAGGGCCGCGGCGGAAGAGGAGGAGACGCACGGGGGCCCGCCCAGGCGCCGAGGCGCCGACTCGCGCTGGAACGCGGGCGGGCGGCAGAGCTTTACAACACGTACCCAGGGCGTCGCTGGCTCGAGCTGAGTGCAGGCCAGAAGGGGGAGGAGGAGGGGGAGGAGGAGGAGGAGGAGGAGGAGGAGGAGGAGGAGGAGGAGGCGGAGGAGGAGGAGGAGGAGGACCAGAGTAAACCCAAGACGTAGCAGTGATGTTGCCATAAGCCCTCCCTCCAGATTCCCTCTTCATTGGGGCCCTACAACACGTTGTCTGCATTGCGGGACATGACCCATTGGAGAACAGGCGTCTGAGAACCATTCGTCGTGCCAAAACACTATACCGGGGACCTCAGCGTCGAGTCTCGACATGACAGTTGCGCCCCGACATTCCGAAACTGTGACAGGACACCCCTTTCTGGGACTGCAGCACCGCGAATCAGCATGACTGCTGCCTTGTGACAATCCGAGGTCTTGCCAGGCCACCATTCCTGGGACTTCGCCCATGGGAATCCTTGAAGCTGTTGCGAACTTTCGAACGAATGAGTGCGGCGATAAAGCGAGAGCCAAAATGTGAAAACTAATCGTCCTTCATCCGTGAACCTGCTGCAAAATTTGAAAACGAATGCGCGCAAGAACCACATTTTGGAAACGAACCGCCCTCCATCCGCGAAACTGTTGCAGACCTGTAAACCCCATGTGCATGTGCGCGGCGCAAAGGCGAGAATCGCGTGTTGCGAAAGGCCCGCCATCCACCCGGCAAACTCTTGCAAATGTCAGGCTTCAGGATCATGGAAGGTGAAAAATCAGGCGGAACACCTGACCCGCCCTAACGACACGTCTGGGGGTGCGACAGGGAGGCGTCACTTGCAAGGAAGAGGGATGAAGGAGGAGGAGGAGGAGGAGAGGAGCAAGAGGGGGGAGGAGGAGGAGGACGAGAAGGAAGGTCAGTCGAGACCAGGGCATGCAGCAGAGGCAGGTAAGATCAGGCCATGCAGACGAAGCCGAAAAGCCCTGAACTGATCGAGATCAAAGGGGAAGCCACGCCTCCTCCAACACGGCTTTGCGAGCGGAAGCGGCTTCCACCCACAGCCAACCCGGCCAGAGGGAGGAGGAGGAGGAGGAGGTGGAGGAGGAGGAGGAGAAGGAGAAGAAGGAGGAGGAGGGGGGAGGGAGGAGGAGGAGGAGGAGGAAGGAGGAGGAGAAGGAGGAGGAGGGGGGGGAGGAGAGGAGGAGGAGGAGGAGGAGGAGGAGGAGGAGGAGGAGGAGGATGAGGCGGAGGAGGAGGAGAGAGGATGAGGAGGCTCAGAGGGAGAAATTGCAGAGAGAGGGAGAGAGGAAGAGGAAGAGGAGGGAGGAAGAGGATGAGGTGGGATAAGGAGAGAGAAGTGAGGTGGAGAAGGAAGAGGAGGCACATCGCTCCGAACGTATCTATCTGGAGGGAAGCGCGCGTGAAGAGGAGGAGGAGGAGGAGGAGGAAAGGGAGGAGAAAAGGGAGGAGGAGGAGGAGGAGGAGGAGGAGGAGGAGGAAAGGGAGGAGGAGGAAAGGGAGGAGGAGGAGGAAAGGGAGGAGGAGGAGGAAAGGGAGGAGGAGAATGGATGGAGGGAGAGAGGGAAGAGGGAGGGAGGAGGGAAGGAAGGGAGGAAGGAGGAGGGACGAAAGAGAGCATCCCCCTGCCCCCCCCCTCCCCCCACCTCCTCCCGCCCTCCGTCCTGCCACGTCGGGCCCGCCGGTGCAGAAGCGCTGCGGGCAGTCCCCGAGGAGCACCTGCGAGATGGCTGGCGGCAGGGGAGGAGGGAGGAGCGCCCCTCCCTCATTCGCTCCTCTCGTCATAGCCTCCTTGTCATACATCCTCCCTCCATCCCTCCTGCACCCCCCCTGCCCCCCCCCTCGGACATCCCACCCCCCTCCATCCCTCCATCCCTCCCTCAATCGCTCCTCCTCCTCCTCCTCCTCCTCCTCCTCCTCCTCCTCCTCCTCCTCCTCATCAGCAGCAGCAGCAGCAGGAGGAGCATCATCAGCATCGTCGTCGTCAGCATCATCGCCATCATCATTAGCATCACCATCATCAACAACATCAACAGTCTCATCATCGGCAGCAACATCAGCATCAGCATCAACATCAGCATCTTAAAAACCAGCAGCGGCATCATCATTATCATCATCACCACCATCTTAATCAGCATAATCCATCATCAGCATCATCAGCAGCAACATCGTCAGTAGCAGCATCATCAGCATTATCATCGTCAACAGTCACCATCATCGTCACCACCACCACCATCAAGCATCACCATAATCAGCATCATCATACTCATCATCATCAGCAGCAGCAGCATCATCATCAGCATCATCATCATAATCGTCACAATCAGCAGCATCATAATCGTCATCAGCATCGTCAGTATCATCATCAGCATCGGCAGCAGCATCATCATAACAAAATATGATCAGCAGCAGCAACACCAGCATCAGCATCAGCATCATCAGCATCAACATCATTACCATTAGCATCGTAATCAGCATCAGCCTCATCAGCAGCAGCATCATCAACATCATCGGCAGCAGCAGCATCAGCATCATCATCATACGTACTACCAGTATCATCAGCATCAGCATCAGAATCATCATCATCACCATCACCACCACCATCACCACAGCCACGAGAAGCAGCAGCAGCATCGGTAGCATCAGCATCATCATTATCCCTCGTCCTTGATCCCTCATCATGCCTTATCCATCATCCCTCGTCCCTCATCCCTCATCCCTCATCCCTCGCTGCTCATCCCTGCTCCTCTTCCCTCCCGCCCACCCTCCCTCCCGCCCGCCCGCCCGCCCGCCCCTCCCTCCCTCACTCCCTCCCTACCTCCCTCCCTCCCCCCACTCCCTCCCCCCCTCCCTCCTCTCTCCTCCTCCCTCCCTCCCTCCCAAAATCGCTCTCTCCTCCTCCTCCTGTGCCCCGCCCGCGCGCGCCCGCCTGGTGCGTGTCTCTCTCGTCGAGGCGCGGCCAGCGCTCGAAGCGCCGCCGTGCAGCGCGGCGCACCAGCACCTCTCGGGCCGCGGCGGCCGCAAGCCGCGGCCCGGCCAGCGGGGGGGGGGGGGCCCTCCTCCTCCCGCTCCTCCTCCCTCCTCCTCCTCCTCCTCCCGCTCCTCCTCCTCCTCCTCCTCCTCCCCTCCTCCTCCTCTCCTCCTCCTCCTCCTCCTCCTCCCTCCTCCTCCTCCTCCTCCTCCTCCTCCTCCTCCTCCTCCTGTTGAAATAGTCGACACCGTCACCACGTTTCGTTACTGCTGCTGCCGTCATCTGTCTCGCCGCTGACGTTTCGACTCGAAGAGCTCTTGAGCACACGGGCAAAAGACTTCCCTATGCGAGCGGGCGGCAGCCCGCCGGTCGATGGTGAGCGGAGCGGACCAGTTCGCCGCGGTCTGCTCCCGCCTCCGCGCGCCCGCGCGGGGGATTGCGAGCCGCGCCCCGTGGCGGGGGCTGCTGGCCAGGCCTGCGGGGAGCCGGCTCGGCGCCACGGCGCGGGTCGTGGCGGACCCGCTCAGGCCGGGCCGCCCGGGCGGAGCTCGGCGACCTACGGCAGCGCGGCACGGCGGCCGCGTGTGCAGCTTCGGCTCCGGCGAGCTCGCTAGCGGCTGCTCACAGGAGCAGGACCACTGCAACTCCGACAAGCCCCATGGCAAGAGCGTCAAGACTCGCCTCCGAGAGGGACATTCCTCTCCACGACGGCGATCCTGAGCTGTCCGAGGAGTGTCAGGAGCGGGCCAAAGACGCGTTCTACGGTCGCACTGGTGACGAGAAGCAGATCGCGACTCCCGTCAACCTCAGGAATGGCCTCTCGGGCACGGCGTACGACTCGATGCACCGACGCCTCGGTGCATAGATGCGTCGAGGAGGAGGAGGAGGAGGAGGAGGAGGAGGAGGTCGCTGAGGCACGAGAAGCTGCTGGGCGAAGCAGTCCTGAAGGAGAGGCCCGTACGGGCGGCGGAGCTGTTCGACGGCGCCTTGTGAGACAAGGGCGTATGGCGAGGCCCGGGGAAGAGCATGCAGGAGTACATCACACGTCGGACGAGGCCGTTCGACGACCTCGAGAAGGCTTCGCAGGAGACCGGCATCTCCGACGACCTGCAGGCCTACCTGTTGCTGAAGTTCCCAGGGCTCGACAGGCCAGCCACGCCAGCATCATCGGCAGTGCCGGCAACAGGTTCGACAAGGAGGCGCTCGCGAAAGCATTGAGGATGCAGCACTCGGGGGCCCACGAGCGTGAGCGCAGCTACAATCGGGGATGGACAGACCCCCCTTTAGTAAAACGGGGTTTAGTGAGAACGACCTGAGGCCCAAACCTGGCGGGCGCAAGCCTGGAAAATAACGGCCACGGCGCCCTCTCGAGAAGCGAAAACGGACAATTCACTAATCGACGTGTCACTGTTGGGGGCTCTGTCCACCCCCGATACAAGGAGGGCGGCAGGCAAGAGACGCAACGCTCGGACCCGAGGCCGCAGCGGCTCCCGCACGGCCAGCATCGCTCGCGCCAGGCTTGGCAGGCCGAGCGCGACGACGACCACGAGCGCTACGAGGACGACGACGACGACCACTCCCAGAGCGACCACTCGCGCGATGGCCAGCCCCGGGAGGAGGAGGAGATCTGCCCCGGCGAGGAAGAAGCTACGCTCGAGGAGATCGACGAGATGGATCCGGAGGCGGCGGAGGGCGTCGCGGCGATCGTTCAGAACAAGCATGAGGCTTCAAGCCCGAGGCGGAGGGCGAGGTGGCAAGGGCAGGGGGCCACATGCGAAGCCTACCCCTACCCCCCCGCAACTTCTGTGAGCGGGAGGGTGGCGGTCACTTCGTTCGGGCGCTCCCGAGCGAAGTGAACCCCACCCCTCCCCGGAAAACCTTCGGCCCCGACAGGTAGCACGTTTGGGGGGGCCTGGGGGGGCGAGAGCTCCCCAGGGCAGAATGCTGGTTGCAGGTTCCCGGGGCCCCTGAGCCTTCGGCTTGCCTCACACGACGCCGTAGTACTCCTCCTGGAACGCCATGCGGCAGCCAGCCATCCGCAGCACGACTGCGTGCACGTTCGCCTCCTGCCCTCCTCGGCTTGCCTGCAAGCCCACCGCAGGACTCCCACGGAAGACGATCCTGGAGCCGCCCGTGGTTCGGGTCGGGCGAAAGGGGGGGATAGCAAAGGGGGGGTTTGAGAATCAGCTCATGTAGCTGATTTTCCCAGCGCCTCCCGGCGCCGGACGCGGCTATGTATCGAGGAATGGGCCCCTCGGTGGGGCCGAAACCAGCCGCATGCAGCAGATTTCGCACCCCCCCCTTCCCAATGCCCCCCTTTCGCCCAGCCCGGCACTGGCACGGCGATCCAAGTTGCCCGAAGTCATCGAGGTCGGCCGCGCCAGCATCGGGCCGACCCAAGCGCAGCTGCTTCAGCTGCAGCGACTTCACGAGCGACGGCGGCAAGGCTGGCGAGCCCAGGATCGCAGAGGTGCACGGTGGCGTCGGCCTCGCCACCGCCCTCGGGGCTCGGAGCTCGACCGCAGCCCGAGGTGAAGCCGCACGGCGAGTGGAAGGCCCGGTGCGATGACGAGGCGCTCGAGGCCAGCGCGGACGGTGCGGACGGAGCCGCCGGACCACCGAGAAGACGAGGACGGCCGCTGCCCGTCGTGGCGGAGCCCTGCAGGCACGCGCTGGAGGCGGACCCTAGGATGTTCAAGGGCGCGAATGCTGCAATCTCATGATGACTTGCATGCTCGACGCGCCCACCGTGCGCACCAAAAGGTAATTGAACCCCTTGTGGCCAATCATGGGTCGACCAGCCTGCTGCGCCGTGGCGGAGGATGTCAAACCTAGTGAGGAGGTTGTCGAGGCGCTCCTGCGGCAGCCGGCTGAAGTTCATCAGGGCTGATGCTGCTTGGGTCGGTTCCTCCTCGCATAGCTGGCCCCGCCGTTCGGGCAGGCTCGACGCACGGGCACCTGCCTTGTCGCAGGCGTCTGCCCCGGCAGCTCGGCATCCACGTGGCCAGGGCACGCCGGAGCGCGGCGAGGAGCTCCGGAAGCACTTCGCGGCGGTGTTGCTGCTCACGCCTCGTGGCCGCCGCATCCTTGACAGGGAGACCCCAGTGGCATCGGGGCGGGTGAGGGCTGACAAGGTCAGGAGGGCACCGAGGCCAGGGGCCCACGACCTGAAGGGCACCAAGGAGCAGCACGGGGCGGTGACTGCGAGGACCAAGAGGGCGACCGAGGTGAACGTGCCGTCCGACGACGAGGAGCAGGACGACGCCCGACGGCCGAGGAGGACTCACGCGAGGAGTACCACACCGAGGAGCACGTCTTCGTGGCGTACCCGGCGGACTTCGACCAGGACATCAAGGGCCCCGACCTGGAGAACGTCCCTCTGGGCAGCGAGAAGATAAAGGTTGGGATGCTCCGGGGCTGCACCTTCGCGCAGCTCGTGAACGGTGGCCCCCCGCTGCGCACGGCCACGGCCACTCCCTCGTCAGGTCTGCGATGGCGAGCGACGCTACCAGGCTCAGCGTGGACCGGTACCGCTTGGCCCGGTACCTGACCTGCCTGATGGCGCTCGGCGAGCGGGACCTTCAAGGTACTGAGGAAGGAGGAGGAGGAGGAGGAGGAGGAGGAGGAGGAGGAGGAGAAGGGAAGAGGAGGGAGGAGGAGGAGGGAGGAGGAGGAGGAGGAGGAGGAGGAGGACGGGACCTTCCAGGTACTGATGACGAACTGCTCTTCCGACGGTGCCTGGACCCGCCCGGCACCTGCTGTGCTCGAGACGGCCTGCCAGATGACCATGCACGGCACCCCCTGACGGCTCGGGCATGAGAAGGAGCTCCAGGCGAGGGAGCTCAGCACGGTCCCAAGGTCCCAGCAGACCGAGTTTCGAGGCGTCGGCGGGGACGCACACAGCGATGCGGTGTACAACATGACAGCAGGCATCGCCAGCAAACCCTTCGCGATCGAGTCCGCCGAGCTCGATCAGGACGCCCCCCTGCTGATCCCAAAGGGCACGCAGTCCGAGCTTGGGGCTGTGATCGACGTGGCGAACGCGGTCGCCGACTTCACCAAGACCGGCGCCTACAACGTGCCCCGCTTCAAGACGAGTTGCGGCCACCTGGGCGTCAGCCTACTGGACTTTCCGGACCCGAGCATCTTCGGCCCCGAGTTTCAGGCCCATCTCGCGGAGGACGGGACCAGCGACGGCTTCGACACGGCGAGGTTTCCAGAGGCGGAGGTGGTGATGCCGACGATAGAGGTGATGGCGACGGAGACGGTCTCCGAGAATCCGAACGAGATCGACTGGGAGAATGACAAATCCATCAGGATGGTCAGTTTTAGACGACCGAAGAACGTCAAGGCCATGCACGATGACCTGTACACTATGGAGTCGAGGTCTCTCGACATCATGGCGGGCTTCACTACCAGAAGGAGGCAACTACCCAGAGGGAAGACACTACTGAAGCAACTCTTTTGCGGCCAGTTTGGCCTTGCGTTGCTTGCCTCCGCCACTTTCGGCTACAACTGCGGCCAGCCCCTGGACATCGAAGACGGCTGGGACGGTGCTACCAGGAAGGGGAGGCAGGCCGCGAGGAGACGGTTGCTGGAGGACACCTACATGACGATCATGACGATGCCCTGCGGCCCGTCGGGCGAGTGGGGACGGTGCAACATCTCGAAGGGCGGAGCCGCTGCGGCCACAGTGAACGAGGCGAGGGATGCGACGAGGCCCCTGCTCGCGCTGTCCGACCAGGTCGTCGCCGACTGGGTGAAGCACGGCAGGCACGTCTTGCCGCAGCAGCCCCTCGGCTCCAGCGCCTGCTTCGAGCCCGAGATGGGCAAGACCCAGGAGCCGGTGAGGAAGGGCCTGGTGCTGGAGTGCACTCCCCACGGCTGCCAGCTGGGCCACGCGGGCGCAGAGGCCAAGGAGCCGCACCACAAGCCGATGGGGTTCCCGACGACCAGCGTGGCGGTCTACGAACCGCTGCGGAGCGAGAAGTGCACCCGGGACCACTGCCACCTGCCGCTGGAGAACCAGA